AACAAGACCTTTTAATGGTTATCAACCGACATGAGGTGTGTGTGCATAGGATGTGTATGCAGGAAAGACAATCTAGCCATGTGGCAAAATAACACCACGTAAACATAGCTCTATGATAGCTGTTTTTATCCGTATTTGCCCATTTCTCACCTATTTTCACAAAGTACTTCCAATGCCAAGAAATTAAAAAATGACTTTTAGACATTTAAATCACCCTGAGGTTTTTTTTTTTTTTTTTTTTTTTTTTTTTGGTACCGGGGATCAAACTCGGGTCCTTGAGCTTGCAAGGCAGGCCACCGAACCCCTGAGCTAAATCCCCGCCCCCTGAGTTGTTTTTAATGCATGCCTGTAAGCTCAGCACTCTGGTAGGCTAAGGCAGGAGCATCACAAGTTTAACCCTAGCTAGGCCCACTTAGCTATTTCGTGAGGCTCTCTCAAAGTAAAAAATACAAAAATTAGCTGAGGATATAGCTTGGTGCAAAGGCCCCAGGTTTAATCACTGTACCACCAAAAAAAGAAAGTTATTTCTATTATTTCTATATGCTTTCTAGTACAGGAGTCCAGTAGTCTCCGTGTTTTGTTATTTGCCAGTTGAACACTTGTGCTCTGGTTTTTAGCTGTGTGATTACACATGAGTGACTTCTCTGTGATTCTGTTTTTTCATAAAATGAGAATGATCAGTCCCCATACTCTAAAGGGTTATGATGATTAAATGAGTTAATTCATATTTAAAGAATCTTAGCTCTCAGAATCCATATAAAGAAGTTGGTAATTAGATGACCAGATGGCAATTATTTTTCTTTCCATATTTAAACACATACACATTTCAAAGCTTCCAACTTGATTTATTGCTTGTCCAACTTTTCCCTATGGCAGTATCTTCATGGTAAATCTAAGTTTCATGAACAGAAGTTATAATACCCTCCCTACATGCAATCATTTTATTTTTGAAGTTGGAGAAATGCTGAACTACACTAGAAGTGACTAATAACAAAATAAGACATTTTGAATCCAACAAAACAAAGAAGCTGACTATAAAAAAAATGGTAGCAACATTGGGCTGAGAAATTTGATGAGAGTTCATCCTATGTAAGCCATCAATTATTTTCTATTATCAGTGGAGAATATAGTTATTTGTCAACCTTTATACAAAAAGAAATTTTAAACCAAACGATTGCCAATGTTATGCCTTCCAAAAAGTTTAGGGAGATGAAATACCGCATGGTTTTCATGATAGTGGGAAATCATATTTTTGGAAAAGCAAACCAAATACAGGTTTTAGTTCCAAGAATATTAGGGACAATTTAAACTTCTATAACCTATCTATAAAACTAACGTGATTGACAACCATAACATTAAAAGAGTTGTCAGACCTAAGCACACACAATTCGAATATACGGCCTTAAAGTGGTAACAAAGGCAGGGTGAGCTCCCATTGTAGGCCATGTTTAGGAAATTTTTAAAGACATCTGTAATAGAAATGCTGAGGAATATTCTTTCCCATAGACTTGTTAGCAAACTTAAATTTGTGTAAATACATGAATAATTAAACTGTGTATGTATGTCTAATATCATGAAAAAGTTCCCTGTAAGGTACATTATTTCAAACTAAGTTTTTTCTGTAAACCTCGCTCTGATGGCAAGTACCATGAACTTTGTTGATTATCATCTTAACACTGGCAATGCTTAGATTTTCTTTGCCTATGCGTTGGCACCAGGCCCTACGCAGTGAAATCTGCCCATTCTATAAAGATTGTAGACTAAAAGCAAACATATAAAATGAAGGAAGACAAATGTGCTTCTGAATGATTAATACAGTATATCTCTGAATAAAGCATACAAATCTTGCATGTCCTTATGTGTATTAAGCTTATATTTGTAGTCCTGAATCAACAATGTGACTGTTATTTTTTTCTATGTACATTGCATGTTCTGATTTAAAATTTCAAAATGCTTTCCCATGTCAATGACAATCTTAATAGAGTCCAATTAGTTCCACAAGGCACTTTCTGATGCACAAGCCTCTGGCTTGATTGCGGTGAATGGTGGGTATTTCCTGTGTTTAAGCCCACATATGGATTGAGTAAGGCAGTGGCAGAGGGACTACTGTTTTCCTTCACTACATCTTCATTTCTTTTTCACAGGCTAAGCCTTTTTTGTTTTTCCTGGCTCTGTTGTCAAAATACTGACCAAAGTTTTGGCTCATGGTTTGGAACACCAGGCCAAAACAATCCTCTGGAAACTAGTGTGGCAAAATATATTTTAATCTATACATTCACCATTCAACCATGTGCATAGCCACACCCATTGGCCCACTCTGTGGTTTAAAAACAACACCAGTTAGCCCCCAGAACAGTCTGATTCATATGACAAGTTTTTTCAGGCCTGCTCTATCAACATTAAAAAATGTTCTGAGGCTTGGTTTCATCACAACTCTTGGGGGGGATTATTAACTATACCAGGATCATTTTTGTTTCTGTTTTTGTTTCTGAAGGTGAATTCTTTGTATATTCTGCAAAACTTCTTTGAAAACATGTCCAAATAAAAATCAGAAAATAGTTTATGCAATTAACAGTATTTCCTAGAAGTTTACAAGTAAAATATTAAGGCTTTCCTTGAATGAATAGTCGTATTTTCCTTTAGGGCTAATTCAGTGATTAATTCCTTGAAGTGTTAGAATCCACCCCAGTGTTCGTGCGTGTGTGTGTGTGTGTGTGTGTGTGTGTGTGTGTGTGTGTTTCCAGAAGTGTTGCACTGGTTCTTTGTTAACTATATTCCATGTCAAAAAAGCATCGAGAAATGACCTCCTACCCAACTTTAAATGTTACTCCAGAGATAAGATTATACACAAGGTATCCTTAAGAATTTTAATACCTGTGAATTATGCTCTTAATTGTTCATCCATTTCATTTTCCCCTCTAAACAGCCATTTAATCCACATTTTAAATTCTGAACTAATGAATATTTGAATGAATGCCAATAGTCTTTTATGTGAAAAAAAAATTTTAATTTGCATCTGAAAGTACCTGCTCCACTCAAAAGTTTGTGTTAAGCAAGGCTCTGCTGGAAATTTTTCCTGGATTACATTAAATGTGCCACCTGGACTTTCTCCCAGATGAACGACAAGACCTAGTCAAGAAAATGTTCTTTGACTTTAAATTAGGTATTAAACCTTTCAACAAAACACAATTTATAGTCAGTGCTGCAGAGAATTTTAAATGGTTTCTCCTCCCTCTACTAAAAGGAAAAAAGACAGAAAAAGCAGGGAGGGGCAAACTCCTGTAAAATGTAAGCATCTCACGCATCCTCTCCTTCTCTCTCTCTCTCTCTCTCCCCCTCCTCCTTTCTTTCTCTCTCTCTTGATTTATATCTCTAATAGCTTTAGAAGGATACTGTTTTCAAAGGTTCAAAATCTAAGCCCTCCTTTTGAAAAATAAAGTACAATATTAATTTGAGAATATAGCCTAAGAAGAAGAGAGGAGGTGGCACAAAAATGAAGTTGAAGGAATGCTGGTGACTTACTTTGGACTATCCCATATCACCATGTTTATCTTAGTTACTTCTGTCTTTAGATGTCATTTTTCTGTCCTCTATTCTCAACTCAATTGCCATTACAAAACTTGACTTCCATAAACCAGAGGTGTTCCCTGTTTCAAGTGCATTGGTACTCTTAAATTAATGGAGTACTAACACCACCTAAAGGCTTTTGTGTACATTTAAGATGAGGATATGAGATCTTAAATCAAAGGCAGCTTTGGGCTTTGTCACTGTATCATGCTTGAAGGGTATATGCATTCTCTGTGCACCTAAGAACCCTGCCTCCTGCCTGCCAGTTGTTTTCACCTGGAATCCATCCATTCTGCACTACTAACAGGAAAAGTGTCAGACATCTCCTGCCCCAAACACACACCCAGGGATGGAAGAGAGTGGTGGTAATGACAAATCCTCACCTATATGCCCTTGAGTTGAAGAAGAAGAGCCACGCAGTTTAAACTTCAAATCCCATTCAACACTCAAGGAAAATCCACAAATGCATCTTCTACATTCAAGTGAGCTACTATTTTCATAAACTATATCATACCTTGCAGTGATCCTAATAAAAGATTAAAACCATCTAACCATTTCATCAAAAATGAAAAAGAAAGCTGGGCATGGTGGCACACGCCTGTAATCTCAGCACTCGGGAGGCTGAGGCAGGAGGATCGCTGTGAGTTCGAGACCAGCCTGGGCTACATAGTGAGTTCCAGGTCAGTCTCAACTACATAGTGAGACTCTGTCTCAAAAAACCAAAAAAAATAAAACAATGAAAAAGAAAAGCTGAAAATATCTGGAGCAACAAACTACAACTGTTGTTTGTTTTATTTATGATCTGTGATGTAAATATTGGTCCTAAAAGTAGTGGGTGTTGAATTTCCAAAAAAACTTTATTAGCTATAAGACTAATAAAATAATCCTTAAAAGGCTGCAAATTCAAAAAAAAATTATGTTGTACTATTTTTATTACAATGTGCAGTTTACAACCTATTAATAATTCATTCTGACTCTTAATGCAACAATAATACATCTGTTTTTAATATTTGCCATATAGATTCATTAGGCTACCAGTCTTTCTGATCTGCTTCTGCAGTGGCAGAATAAATATCATAATTGATGTTACATTTATGCATATGTTTCTTTTTTTTTATAAGATCAGAGACATTACTGGGTCTGTTAATGTGACCTTGTTTTTCAACTCAGGTTATTAGTGTAGAGAATTGTGTCCACTTACCATCTTTTGGAGATTACAAAGATACAGCAGACAATCAAAATCATAATTCCAAATGAAAAGAAAGGATGGTTCTTTAAAAGTGTTTAGAAGGGTACACAGCAGGGCATATTTTCTTTCTTACTGGCAAGAGTTTGTAACTGGATACCTTAACATTACTGAGAACATGAAAACATGAAACAAAAGTATTGATTCAAGAATTCACTGAAGAAAAAAATCCAAGCACACACTGGCTGTTTCATTTTATTCTTTTAAAGTATGGGTTATGTCGGTTGTTTGTGGCAGGCAGTTACAAGTTGGCTGGTCCCTCTTGCTTTTTTCAACATACAGGGAAGAAAGTGTTATTGGTATTGTTAAATTTACATTGTGTCCCCTTTAATTGCATCAGCTGCTAACTAGATCTAGGAATAATGATATTTAAAGGGAAAATGGCAACCATCACCAGAAGACAGCAGTGTAATGGGAGAGCCTAATTAATTTAACCACATAGTACTCCATAATGGCTGGGCTGCTTTGTGCCCACAGATGGAGTTCAGAGGAATTAACAGCACTGTGCATCCCCAGACTCCACACGTTGGCTGGCCAAGGGGAGATTTTGCTTTATATTACTTCAGTGCACACTTTGGCAGTGTTTGCTTGAAGACTGAAGAAGCAGGGTTTAACTTCGGGAAAATGTGAGATTGCAGGTATCTGAAGCTAGCTTTCCAAAATGCCACTCTTCCTTTATTCGCCCCTCCGAATGATATGTAATATTTTTCTGGAACCTTTCCTACAAGAAAATGAAGAGCTGTGGGATTCTATCGCGAACATAGCAGAAAAGGAGCTATTTGAAAATGATAGGTGGAAAGGCAGAATCGTTTTACTGCCACGGTAGCTACTTCTCTAAACATTATATGAGTGTACTGCCTGAATTCAGCATCTGTATACAGATCTGGGAGCGAGTCTCCAAGTTATATTTCTTCCAAAGAAATAAATTTCTTTACATTGTCCACAAAAAATTATTTGTGTTACATTACATCCCTTGGTTGTGAATATACACATGGACTCCTATTTCTCTGATCACAAGGAATAGAAAATATTCAAGTGTCTAGGGGAACCCCAAGCCTGAGACCCTACCACTACAGGTGTTTCAGGTAGGGGAGCCTCAGTTCCTTCAGCAGCTTTTTAGGTCAACAATCCTCACACTGGAATTATTTACTTAGGTCTCGCAGCAAGCGCAGAAGGTGATAGCTGCTGAGGGATCAGTGTGGAAAGACCCCAAAGGGTCGCCTGTTCTGGTCAACGATCCTATCATCGCACTCCTGTTTCCAGGCACTAGGTAGAGGTGAAAATTAGCTTTTCCTGAAAGTGCTGTCATTAGGAGAGTGGAGTTTTATAAAAGTCCTCTGCTATGAGTGTTTTTTAAGCTGCTGATCTAAATTTTCAAAATGCCCCAAGTTTCTCTCCACCTCCTAAAATAGACGCCTGCCTGGAGGAGCAGGGCATCTTTACCTAGAAAAGGGCCCATTGCCTTTAGGTGGCACTTGACTGACGATCAGCAAACTCTGAACGCAAGGGCCAAGGCGTTTCTCCTTGAGCTGGATCTGCGGATCCGGTTCTTCGACCCGACCCTCACAGTCTTCTCACCGCCTGGCCGAAAGGGACAGCGCCGGCCCTTGGCGGCTATCCTGCACTTCCCTGTGCATGGCCTGGATCTTTTCAGGGACGAGGTCCCTCAGATCCCAGGAGAAGTGACGGCCCCAGAAATTCTCTAAGGCCTTTGCTAAAGACTGGCTTGGCTTGTGCTTGTCTTATCTTCCATCTACGGTTTTTTAACCTCTCCGATTTTACATTCACCATAGGTGGCTGAGGGAGAGGTGCCAAGACTTCCTCAAGCGACCTTTTAAAGGCTCCACCCCTCCCCTAAAATAAAGACGATGTCCGCAAAGAAAGACAGAGGGGACTTGGCTTTACTCATTGTAATTTTCTGCCTGCAGGATGTTTTTGATAGTAAGGAAATAATAGTGACCACGAAACAGTTCCCAGAACTGCAGAATGAAAGCGAGGCGGGATAGAGGCTGGAGACAGAGCATTCTTAGAAAACAGAAAAGAAGATTTTACGGTTCGGTTCACTGCAATAAGACACCAAAAGTGCATGAGGGTTTTGGGTGTGCTGTGCCTGGCCTTGGGGAGCGCAGGATGGAGTAGAAACACGCCCTAGCTTGGACTACTCGAAGGATTTAGTTAAAGGGGTTACACTGGGAATCCGGCCTGGGTTGCTATCCCAAGTCTGCCTCCACCGGGCTGGGTGTCTACTTACTGGATACATATTTATGGTGGCTCTCCCAGAGCACCGGACTTTATTTTAGAACACAGGCATACTGCGCTGTCATCTTGGACAGGTCTCTGTTAAACTGGGAGTCAGTCTCTTAGCTAGGATCCCTCCAGCTTTCAGGAGAGCACGAAGGGATGTGCCCTTCCCAGGCGGATGAGCCCCCCACTCTAGGCGGTGGGCGGGGAGAAGGACCGGATAGGCCCTTTTGCTTTGGTCACTTCTGGGCAGCCGAGATGCTATTGTTCTTCTTGTTAAAACGGTAAAAGAAAACTCTGGGAGGGTGCAGGAATTGAATCCCTATCCGCCATGAGGGGTTCATTTTCCAAAATACTGCTGCAGACTAAGTGAAAACTCTCTTCGAAACCGCATCCTTCAAGATGATTCTTGGTTTCAGACCAGGCCTCTGCGGCAAGCAGGCGGGCGTTAGGTCATTTTACAGCCCACTCCCAGGGGTCCAGGGCGTCCTCACCAGGGGACTCGCAGAGGCGTGCGCTCCCTCTGCTGCTTGGTGTTCACAGGGACTCCAGCCCGCAGCAACCAAGGCTACCTTGGTGGCCCGGCCTGAAGCCTGAGCCTCCCAGCGCTGCAAAGCCGACTTTCACGTCCTGATTTCCACCGAAACCTTTGTGAGAGCCTGGGAGCAGGCGTAGAAGGTGGAGTGCGAGGCGAAAGTAGGGCACTGCCGGCGACTGTGCCCTGCAGGTCACCGTGAGCTTTCCTCCGGACCACCAAGGAAACACTTCCCCAGCTCCCGCGGGCCCCGCGCCCTGCTCGCTCTCCACCCGACCCGCCTTCCCTGCGCCACAGGTGGCGGACAGGACCCGACAGCTTCTGGCTCCTCGGCGCGCAGGGCCGTGGAAAGGCAGCCTTCTGCTGTAGGTCTAGCCCGGCTCCCATCCTGACTGTGGCTTCCCAATCCCAGAACCTTCCTCTAACCTCTCCCGGGAGGGGGTTTAAAGCCTCCGGATCCTTCTGGCTCGTCCTCATGCTCCCGCCCCAGCGCCCCCAAACAGGAGCTGGGAACCTGGGCCAGAGACTACGAGACAGCGGCGACCCGCCGCAGCCACTGAAGAGCTGAGGGGAGAGGCGGGGAGGGGAGGGAGGGGCGCGAGGAGACCGAACCCTGGGAGAGGCCAAGGGTTGGAGCAAACTGATCCTTGCAAAGCTAAGCAGAAGCAGCTGCTGGTAATAGGTGCCGCCGGGAGAGAGCCGGTTTCCCAGCCCCGGCCCTGCCGGATCCCGCTGGGGCGCGGGCGGCGGTGCAAGCTGAACCGCGGCGAAGGGGACCGCTCAATCTGCGGTCCACAACTGCAGATCCGCCCAAAGTCAGGTGGGACCCGGAGCCCCGGGGCCTTCCGGATCCGAGCTCCCCAACAGACGAGATAAAATGCCCCCTACTTCTCTAAAAAGCCCTCCGCTTCTCTAATCCAAATGAGCGCTCTCCTTTGTACCCCAGAAAAGGTGCTAAAGGGTGCCATTCAAAACTTGACAAGGAGATGGGACTGTGGACCCCGGCTGAAGTCCCCTCACCTTTTCCAGGGCGTCCGGCATCCTTGCAGAGGCGGATAAACACTCCCCATTGTTTCTTGAGGTCAGGCAGCGGGAACGCACCTCACTTACGAGTTTTTCTTTGGTCATCTTTTCCCAAGGACTTTTGAGAAGCGAAATAAGAAAATGCCTGCTAAAATTTCACAAACTTAAAATACTAGACAAGTGTTTGTGAATGAAAACTTTGAGGAAAAAAAATCTGTCGTGGATAGCAACAAACCCTAAAAATTGATCTTTATCATTTTGTATCTTTCCATTCGTCCACCTAAATAGAAAAAAAAAACCGTGACTTCATGTAGTTTGCTCATACCACAGGTATTTGGCATTTGCCCTTGTGTTTTATTATGACACATTCATGAATTGGCAATTGGCCTTCAAAATCTACTAAATATATAGTACTTTGAATCCTAGAAAAATAAATCTCAGGTCAATTTGTTGCATTTACATTTTATGCAATTTTTTTAATTAAAAGAAATTTCTTTACAGTTTTTTTCCCCCTTTCAATTGGAGTCACGCCGTTCTCGGGGCTTCTAGTCCGCTACTTCAGGGGTATCTGGTAATAAAATCTCTGAGGCTCCAAAATATAATCAATCTGAGATTTCTTGTCTTTGAATGTTTACAACATGAAGAGTTTTCGTTACCATCTTGTTAACATGTTCTGTTTAATTCAAGACTTGCTAGAAAAGGAAAGCCAAACTCAATGTTCTGATGGGTGAATAGGTTTGCTTAAATCTCAACTTGACTGAGATGGCAGCAGGTAGTAGTGCTTTGATTTACCCTCTACTTTTCAGTGTAATGTGTTTCAATTTCACTTATCAAGTGATGCGAGTGCATTGGCTAAATGTTTCTTTACATTTTATTGTAGTAATATATTGTGTGAGCATAAAGGTATGTTCTGAAACAAAACGATTTACAGAAGCCACTCCCTTTATACTCACCTTTTCGGGACAGGAAACGTATCATCAAAGATGTCTGCTTTTCTCTTCTTGTTCAAGGATTGGGATTTCTCTAAATAAATGAATGAAATTGGAATGGCTTGTTTGAGAAAGTTCACACATTTCTGTATTTTGGATTTGGACAAAGGAGCTGTTCACAGTCTTTGGGGAAATACTGTCATCTACTACTACTTCGAAACAGCGTCTGGAGCGGCATCTGTCTTGGAGGTTTCCCCCGCAAAAAATCCCCACCGACAGCTCCCGGTATAATTGTGTCGGTAGATAGGTCACTGTCGCGGCCATCGTCTGGCCCGCGTCCACTTTTATTGGACAAGCGCAGCTGGGAAGAACCAAACACAATATATACTGAAACAGAATGAGGGAAGTTCTCGGATTCTCAAACTGTACCATAATTTCTAGTTTCACTTCTCTCTTCCCGCCTCCCCCACCCTCCTATCCAATCTTAAGGACCACGTGTGTGTGGTTTTGCATCTCACAGTCTCTTCTGGAGTTTCTTACACAGTTTTTGTTTTTTCTTCTCAAGTCATCAGAAAAATAATGCCGGGGCTGGGGGTGGGGGAGAGACCTGAAAAAGAATTGCAGAGCCACGGGCTTAGCGACAGAAGCGTCTGAACGCTGCACGCTGCGTCTGTTCCCCGGAACTCTCCGGGATTTTTTTTTTCCGACTGCTTCAAAATGTACCAGCGTCCTAGGCTTGAGGAAAGAGAGGAGCCTTGCTTAAGAAGCAAGATTTCCGTAGGGTGGAGGCGAAAAGAAAACCCTCCTACCAGAGGTGAATTTTGTTTGACTATCTGAACCCAGATCGAGTCCTTCTGTGGTCTTTGGTCAAGATTCCTCCCAGTTCGCCTCCGGCGCTTACTCCGTCTAGGGTGTGGGGGTCTCTCTCTCTCTCTCTCTCTCTCTCTCTCTCTCTCTCTCTCTCTCTCTCCTCCCTCCCTCCTCCTTTCTCTCCCCCTCCCTCCTCAAGCTCAATTTTCACATAAAATGGGTCATCCACTTTTGTTCCTTGAAGCCTCCTTCGCAGTATTTCAATAGCAAACACGTCTTTCCGACGGAAACGGTTTGATCAGCACTCCTAGGTCTCAATTAATGTCCAACATGCATTCCTGTCCCTCTGTGCCAAGCCTCACTGCAAATCCACTTTCAACAGCAGGGAGCACACACAGGTAAAATGAGGCTGAGTTTTCCTCCAGCGAAGTCAGGGAATCTGATTGCACGTAAGAATTCCCCGTGTTGGCTGGAACTCGACTCAACCTTATTAAATTAGTGACTTGAGACTGCTAAGAAATTACACATAACTTCAAAGATTAAAAATTGCTGTAAGCGATCACACTGCAGTGACCACAGGGATCATGTTTTCTTATTTTCGTGTTTGTGAATAATTCGTTTTTTATTCCAACAAACATTTTTTTCCCAGCTGATTACCAGTGGTTTCCTTAGCTGATTGTGAAGTAATTTGAGTTTTCCTTTTGCATATATAAATCTCATGATTTGAAGAAAAGTATGTATATCATATCAGACTTAGGCAAATTACTGGACTAGCTATCTACTTCAGTGTCTTCAGCAAATTAAAAAATAAAATCCCAGGATAAAGATTTCAGAATAAAATAGCTATTAGTTTTCAGCATACTGAACATTCTGAAAAATGAGTGATAAAAAGTATATATTGAAGTGTCTCCCTTCCAACTCACCATAGACATGTGCTTATCTATATATATATATATATATATAGTCATATAAAAGCATTGCTTTACATGGGTCTATGAAATAATTTTAAGTTTTGTTCCTTAAAGGATAGCTTAAGAAGAATGCATTGGCTTGAGAGAATAGAATGTTCTGGCAAAACAATAGAAACAAAGGAGTGTTAGGAGAAAAACCACAGGGAGGCAATGAATAAAACAAAACAGGGAAAAAGCAGACAACAAAACAAAAGAAGTCACTTCCAGTCCTCAAGTCAGCCCTCTGAATACCTGACTGATATTCCAGGATGCATTAGGTTTTCACTACTGAAATTAGCTCTTGGGGTGCTTCTTATTACATGTTAAAGAAGTGAACATAATTACAATCTTGAAATATAATTTTCCTCACTCTAAATATTTTACACTTATCAAGCAAGAAGTGACTGTCTGCCTTCTGCCTTCCACTACTCCTTTGGCTCTAATTATGCCACTTTGGTGATGCTTGGTTTGTTATACAAGTGGAGGAAGTTTGAAAATTATCTTTGCTACAACCTCTAGTACTATTTTCAGCCAACAGAAAGTTGCCTGTATTGTCTAAATGGATCTCTGTCCACAACCTGCGTTTCTATAGAATAAACACTTTATGTTCCATCTTTACAATGAATCCAAGTTTTCATCTCATGGGCTTTCTGAAATAAGACTATACATATTTAGCTTTAGTTTGTATCATGCAGAACTTGCAGAATGAAATACATTTTTGTAAGTTTAATAGTAATGTACAACTGTACACCAAATTCAACAGAAGTACTATAAGCTGTATGCCAAAAGCATGGTCAGGAAATAGTAAATGAGATTGAACCTAGATAACAGCAAGTAGTACATTTGGGGAAATATAATCTAAAAGTCATAAAGTTGAGATCAAATTCAGTATTCTTCATGAATCAAACCTCTAAATATTTCTGTTCTGTTGGCCACTAGGGTTTGTTTATGGAGTGCCAAATTCTATTCTAAACCATATTAGAAGAGCCATATTTTCAATTTAAAAAAAGACTCCTACAATTTTATTTTGGAAGGAAAAGTTTCCAATTTTTAAATTTTTTTTTTTTTTTTTTTTTTTTTTTTGGTATCAGGGATTGAACTCCGGTCCTTGTGTTTGCGAGAAGGCAGGAGACAGAACCACTGGGCCAAATCCCTGGCCCCATTACAGAAATCTTAAAAGAATAGTCAATCCACTCACTGCTTTTTGATGGGAGAGATGGAACATGTGATTGCCACGTTGAGGAATCATATACCCCCAAAGTAAGTGTTAGACATTATGTTTTTATAAAAGTAAAGTCAACTCACAGATTAATGTCAATAAGAAATATTATCTGAATAAAAGTAAATTAGAAGCTCAGAAAATCTCCACTTATAACACTAGTTGATGATGAATAATATATATATATATATTCCATTTATGTATATCAAGATAGAAAAAAGAAGAAAAATAGGCAAATTAGGTTAAATATGAAGAAGAAACAGTAACTTTGGAAGATTCATCTAAAATGGAAAGTTCAACATAACAGGTGCTTTAAAAATTAATCAAGCATAAAATAAAATGTACTATATTATTTATGAGATACGGGGCATGTTTAAAATATCACTTGAAAATTAACCTCAGGTCTTTGGTCTCTTCTTTGGTCTCCTAAACTCTAAGTACATAATCCAAAAGTAAACATTACCTTTCATCCTAGATCTTTTCACTGGCTGTAGCCAGAATGCCTGGTATTATTAAATAATCTGGCACTGTCCTTTAGAAATCTTGATAAGGGAAAACATATTTCCTACTTTACTCAACAATAGCTTGTTTGGGAAGCCATTCCTAATGTATTAACAAGAAATTTCATGTAAAAGTCAAAATTTGTGGCTCATGTAATAAGTTCCTATCCAGTGAGTAATATCCTTGGTTTACTTCAGACATTTATTAGAAGATCAACAGACAGAATTATTTTTCAGATTACAGGATATTCTAATAGACTAAAGAGTTCATATATTTATTGACAATAGAGAGGTCTTTAGAGGCTGTATCTTTAGTCTCTCTCTCGTGCATAATTTTTGTTGGTATTATTATTCTAGTGCCTTCCGTTAATGCTCTCTAGCCAGATACACTCCAATACTAAAGGAGTTAACATAATTCCAACTTCACTAAGTGATATAAACAAAACAAAAAAAACAAAATTCAGTCTTAAAAAATAGATTCTTTAAAATTTCTTTAAATTGCTGCTGTACATGAGGAAATTCCTACCTCACACCTGCAGAATTGTCCTTACTCTTGGCTGTTCCCATGTTGTCTAGTCTTTTTTTGTTGATGCTCCAGAATAAATATTGATCTAAATTATTGTGCTGGATCTTTGTTCTCCTCCTGATGAAAAACTCCCATTAGGTGCATTAGGCAAGGTTTTCTAAGTGAAATTTCATTACCACAGTAAATAAAATAAGAATTTTGAAAATGGAGGGGGGCTGGGGATTTAGCTCAGTGGTGCCTTGCCAGCCTGGCAAGCACAAGGTCCTGAGTTCAATTCCTGGTACCAAACAAAACAAAAATAAACAAAACAATGTGTATGTCTGTGGAGGGTTCTTTTAAACCAGGATTGGTCACAACATACCTAACTTGTCAGTATAGGCAAAGTATAATGCCCAGAGAACTACAATTCTCTGTTAATTTTTGTCCTTTGTCTTCTATAGTTGTGTATAAGAGAATCTGAATAGAACCTGAGTTTAAATGTACATTTTTATCACATGTGTTCTGTGTTTATACCATAAACCAAAGTATAACTCTATACTTCAGCAATTTTTTGTGCCTTCATGTGCAAAAATCTTTGGCATGGCTTTGTTGCACATACCTAGGATTGGATAGCAGCTGTAAGTAGCATTTTATGACATGTAAACAATTGAATGTTCTAAGTCCAAAATAAACTAACAGATTCATAATTGTGTTCTTATGACATTTACTAGTACTCATATGGAAGTTTTCCAGATACATGTATCTATATCACATTAAGATATGAATACAAACTCATATTGTGAAATGAATAATTATGAATATATGCTTTTATTATGTTTTGGTTCAGGGTTGCAAAGGTCATTTTAAGTTTTTATAGAAGAATGTATTCATATTTAATTAATGTCAAATAAAAATTAAGTCTATTTTGTGTAAAAAAAAACTTATCGTGGGTGGTATAATGCATCTGCAGATTGTGACCTTTTATCCAAGGAGGACTGCAAATCCACGCTGTGTGCCTGCAATTGATTTGGGATTTGGATTTCTGAGTTGGCTGAGAGATGTGTAAAAACCTCAAGTAGTCAACAGCTCCCTATTGGATGTGCATGTGAGGGGCTTGAGAGCACTATTTATTCCAGCAAGTGTCTGGAATACATTATACTCAATCAATTGGCTCCTGCTACTCCTGTTTGGAAAATATGAAGAATTTGCATACTGTACTACAAGAAATGCACTTTGTCCAAATAATCTTTCTTAAGAGAACATTCTGACTATGACTTTATCTTTTGAATCTAGTATGACCAATATTTTAAACACATGGCATTTAAAAAAGAGTAATAATGAAGCAATTCTCCATACCTCTGAATTCAGAAACTGGTTCAAAATTTATATTCATTTTTAGACAAAGACCATATAAAACTAGGTCTCCAGAAATTTGGGTGGGGGAAGGTAAGATATTTGGGTTCAAAATTGTTCTGTCTGTGTATTTAAGGAAACACCAGGATGAATAATCACAATATTTTTGTATTAACACATACACATTTTAGATTTTATGTTGCTTCTGAATTATAAGGATTGATGGTTAAAATATAGTTTTAAAATAAATACCATGCCTACAGTCTTTGACAAGAGAAACTTCCTTTGCCTTTGATAAGATCTTATCAGATATATATTTTATATTTGAGGAGATATTGCTACTTCCCCTTTAAATAAAACTTTTGATCGCTTAAGCTCTGAAGAGGCATTGCATTCACTTTTTTTGGTTATTGTTGTGATAGAAATTCTTATATTTATAAATGGGTGGAAAGGAAAAGCAATACATTCAAACAGGTGAAGCCATTCTTATCAACAGGCTAGTCTGGTTTCTATTTCTATTTAAGCAAAGTATTGGGATTTTACTGGGTTAAGATAGTTTATCAATGCATTGACTTCTATGAGAAGTCTTCTCACCTAATCTGCATGCTGTCTCCTGGAAAGTTTCCGGGTCTTCATACATATAAGCATACAACAGTTTAGGATTTAAAAAAAAAAAATCAGTCTCTGTAGATCTCTAATTATTTCCTGTGTGTTGATTAGTTTTATCTCAGAATCTATAAACTTTGGTCTTTGAAGGTGATTAGGTCTCATTATTCTGACTCTATTTTCATAGTATCTAGCTTAAGTCAACAGATACCTAGTGACTAATAGAATCAACAGTAAGGCATGCAAATCTAGAGAACTTCAAAAGAGAACAATAAAACCTGCACTCATGGCAGGCCTTACACTTTCCAAGGCCCTTGCACATTATTTCATTTGAATCAAAGGGGGCAGTATTTTGATGTTCACTGAGAAGTGTCTAGTCCTTATAAAAGCAAATCAGCAAGATATTTGCATATCTTTCACTGCTCCAGATTGGATTCCCTAATCAAGTAATAGGAAGTTCCTCAAGGTCTAGCTCAGATTACAGGCCTGTAGGGCCTGCCTAATCCAATGCTGAAACACCTCATAGGTTCAATCTAGACTCTGTTTAGCCTCCATTATGCCAAAGAGGCAGAAGAATTGGGAGTTATAGAAACTTCCCCCAGTCCTCCCAATGGGTTCCTTGATGCAAACAAAGGCAAAATTTTAGTACCAAGGATAATGGGCTTTTAGTCTGGGCTCCCCTGCAAAGCTTTGGAGTAATCTACTCACCGCTCCTTGCTTGTTTCCTTACGTGTGAGAAGTTAAGTGCACATTTTAAAAATCACCTTGAAAATTAATTGAATCCCAAATGTTTTAATAAGATTTATGTTGGCTACACAATAATTAATATCTTACTCACCCACCTTGAAAACAAAACAAAACAAACACAGAATACCACCCCACCACCACCACCAGACCTGTCAGTCCACCCACTCATTCCTTCAGGACCACCTCTGCAAGCCTAGCACCCCTGGGTTCTGGAGCACACCCCAACACCCCTTCCAGCTATTTCTGAGGCCTCTCAAGCAGGGCTGGACTTCAGGCCTAGGCTTGGGCTCTAGCGCCGAAGGGAGTCGGGGGCCCAGGGAAGGACTGGGGTGTGGGCGAGTACTGGCAAGGCCGAGGCGCGCTGGGAAGAGGGCTCCCCTCACCGACGCCGGCCTTGGCGCAGCTGTTCAGTCACAACCGCGAGAAGGGCGCCCTGGATTCCAGAGGCACAGGCACGTTTTTTAAAAAAAGCAAGAAAAAAGCCACCACGGACTCGAATTTCTGGAAGCCGGAGCGGGGTTTTCGCCTTAAACACTGAGCCAGAACCCCTCTGCGCTGCCCCGGCCTCTCCGTTACCCGTTTTCGGTTTGCTTTTGGAAGAACCGGTTCCTCAGCCCCGCGTCGCCTCAGTGGTGCCACCCGTAAGTC